GGTTTTATTTGACCGTCTAGGTACGCTTTGTATATCGAAAAAATCAATCACGTGTTTATGATTGGATGTTTTCGACTTAGCGTGGCAGAGTTTCGTAAAATCGGATTAGGTTTAGAGAGTTCAGATTTCTCGTATAGTTTAGGCAACTTTGGTGTTAAGTCAACCGTTGCCATTTTAGACGATTGATTCGAACTTGTACGAAGAAACAAGTCTTTGCGGTTTTATCGTAAAATACCGATGGAAATTCCGGTTCAGACGAAACTAGAATCAGCGCGATCAAGACTTCGAGAGAACTCGAGGATTGGTTCAGCTCGTCGTAAGGCAAGTCGGGTGAACCCTTTCAGCTCGTCGTGTGGAGATCTGGATTGTAAGAAACCTTGGGGCGAAGTCAGCATCTCTTGGGCGAGCCAGGCGCTTGGGTCAGCTCGCTGTATGGTGAGCTAGCTAGCTCTACGTTCGGCGAGCTAAGACGCTTGGCGCGGGTGATCTCGATTCGTCGAGTTGACTTGTTTTCGTCGTAGAATCTCAACGGAAAGTCCGATTGAGACGAAACGAAAAGCATCTCGATCAAGATTCGAGATGGAGATGTTTCGATCCATCGAGCTTGTCCAACTTGCCTAATGGTGATTCGGCGAGAACAGTCCCGATTCATCAAGCTATCTTGTTTTCGTGGTAAAACCTCAACGAAAACTTTGATTGAGATGAAACGAAAAGCAGTGTGATTATTGTTTAGAGTACGGTCCGGCTCACCATAGCTATGAGTTGGATTGTGCAGACCCTCGGGAAAAATTCAGTGCCTCTGGGACGAGGTGGAAAGCCGGTCAGCTCGCCAAGATAGCAAGCTAGGTTGCTTGGCCAACTCACCGTCTTTTCGGCTGGATAGTATTGCCCGATTCTGCGAGTAGCCTAAGGTTCTTCCGCGAGCAACCTAGGGTTTTGTCGCGAATAACCTAGGGTTTTTCCGCGAGTAACCTAGGGCTTTCTCCGCGAGTAAGCTAGGGCTTTCTCCGTGAGTAACCTAGGGTTTTTTCGCGAATAACCTAGGGTTTTGCCGAGAATAACCTACGGTTTTTCCGCGAGTCACCTAAGGCTTTCTACGCGAGTAACCTAGGGTTTTTCCGCGAACAACCTAGGGTTTTGCCGCGAATAACCTATGGTTTTTACGCGAGTCACCTAAGGCTTTCTACGCGAGTAACCTAGAGTTTTTCCGCGGACAACCTAGGGTTTTGCCGCGAATAACGTATGGTTTTTCCGTGAGTCACCTAAGGATTTTTCCACGAACAGCCTAGGGTTTTCCGCGAGTATCCTAGGAATTATTTCGCGAGTAAGTTACGGTTTGTTCCGCGGTTTCTGGGAGAGCAAGTTTTATTTTTCCGAAAGGTTCTCGGAAAACGTGTTTTGCTTAACGCGTGAGATTTGTCCAACTCGGAAATAAGAAAAACACTACGGGGTTTGAAAGATTTTATCGTTGCCCTTAGTGATCTGAGATAGAAATCGTGAGCTTGTTTTGGTTCTCTTTCCGTGGCGAAGAGTCGCGATTAGGTTTTCGATTTTGTTGAGTACTACAGCGTTTGCGCGAGCGTTGGCTGTAGGAGCAGTCGCTGCTGGAGTTGTTTTACCAGCGTCTTTTTGCGAGTTGCGACTTTGTCTTTCATACATCCAGACATCGTTTTGGTCAAGCGTTTTGCGGCTATGAGTAAGAGTAATCCGACNGCGCGAGCGTTGGCTGTAGGAGCAGTCGCTGCTGGAGTTGTTTTACCAGCGTCTTTTTGCGAGTTGCGACTTTGTCTTTCATACATCCAGACATCGTTTTGGTCAAGCGTTTTGCGGCTATGAGTAAGAGTAATCCGACCCCCCCCCTCCTTCTAGCGCCAAACTGTGGGAACCGAAATTCACACCTGTCGATTTCCGTAAAATAAGGAAAGTTAGGAAAACCCTAATTTTCCAGAGGAACCGGATCTCTGCGAAAGCCAACGACAAGTAACCAAGAACGCGATTAATATGAATAAATTGAAAGATATAAAAATAAAAATGAGATTAAAAGCAAGAAAGATTCTTATTCCGATTTCGCGTAAGAACAGTTACAACGAGAGTTGCCTTAGCTGCGTGAGCCGTCGGCAAAATTCCTAGTTCTAGCAATCTAAGACTAAAACCCTAGTTGAGACGCAGCTCGATAACGAAAACGGAAAATTGCCTAAATGCTAAGTTTGGTGGTGAAAGCTCTGAAAACTTGTGTCTCAGCTTCTGCCCTATGCCTCCTCCTTATATACTCCTCCTTAGGTGGTTTTAGTCTTTCCATTTTGCTCGAAACCGAATATTTTGGGAACTTTCCATATCTGTCGATCCTTCCTTTTCTTCTGCGGAAATCTTCTATTTATCTTCAAACTTGCCATTTATCTTCCGTCTGCGAGTAGACCGTCAAAAAGCGTTATCGTATCTTCGGGTTTGATTTCGTGAACGTCGCGAGATGGGTTTTTATCGTGTTTTAGGACCTTTCGGGCCGTTTTACGATAAAAACCGTTTTATGACTTTAACGAGACCGTTTCCTGATCCGATGCCGTTTTTTTACGATTCTCTCGACGTTTTTTTATTAAAAACGCGTTTTTTATAATCTTAACGAAGAATCTCCGATAAATCGTATAGTTTAGGCGACGTTCGGTGTTTTGATTAACCGTTGCCGTTTTATACGATTTCTTCGAGTTCTTTTCGGGAAAACGGAGTTTTACGGTTTTTATCATAAAACTCGAACGATAGGACGGATCGAGACGAAACGGAAGACATTTCGACCGTGATTCGGAATACGATCATGTCGAAGGACGTATGCCTTGAATCAAGGATGTGGGAGATCGAGGCTCGGGATGGTCGGCTCGACGTACGGCGAGCTAGTTCAGCTTGGCTAGGTCGCCATATGGCGAACTAGGCGAAAAGAACCAGTGGGGCAAAGTCAGCGCCTCTTAGTTCGCCCAATGGCGATCTATCCGGGACGGGACTAGTTCGCCGATGGGCGAACTAGTCGAGTGCCTCCTAGTTCGCCCGTGGGCGAACTAGTCGTGACTAGTTCGCGTTTTACGGCTGTTTCGGTTTTTTGCGGTTTCGTAAAACGATTCTTCGATTTTTATAAAACGATTCTCGAGTTTTATAAAACGACTCTTCGGGTTTTATAAAACGATTCTTCGAGTTTTATAAAACGATTCTCGAGTTTTATAAAACGATTCTCGAGTTTTATAAAACGATTCTTCGAGTTTTATAAAACGATCTTCGAGTTTTATAAAACGGCTTCTCGAGTTTTATAAAACGATCTTCGAGTTTTATAAAAAGGCTTCTCGAGTTTTATAAAAAGATCTTCGAGTTTCATAAAACGATCTTCGAGTTTCATAAAACGATCTTCGAGTTTTATAAAATGGCTTACGATCCTCGAGTTTTATAAAACGATCCTCGAGTTTTATAAAACGGCTTCTCGAGTTTTATAAAATGATCCTCGAGTTTTATAAAACGATTCTCGAGTTTTATAAAACAATTCTTCGAGTTTTATAAAACGATTCTCGAGTTTTATAAAACGATTCTTTGAGTTTTATAAAACGATTCTCGAATTTTTTAAAACGATCCTCGAGTTTTATAAAACGATTCTCGAGTTTTATAAAATGATCCTCGGGTTTTATAAAACGATTCTCGAGTTTTATAAAATGGTCCTCGAGTTTTATAAAACGATCCTCGAGTTTTATATAACGATTCTTCGGGTTTTACAAAACGATTCCTTTTATATTTCTGCGGGGAGTTTCGGCCGTTGATTCCGTTGTACCGATTTTGACCCCAACAAACTCCTGAAATTCTTGGAGTCTTGTACAAAGACTATGTTGGTGGGGTTGAAAAGACTGTTTTGCAAGTCATGTTGCTACTGCTATGTCCTTGAGATTTGGAATCAAGGTAAATAGAGAAGATTTTTGCATTGTTAGACCTCATATGATACTAAATGTCTCGATGTCATTTGTATATTTCAGATGGAGTATTGGAAAGCTTGTCGTACACTTTTGGTTGCTAGAGATCTCGTATTGGGTTCATCGGAGAGTGGATACTCAGAGTTACCTGCTTACTTGCATAGGATTAAATTGGCGAATCCTGGAACTGTAACCACACTGGAAGTCGATGCAGACAATAGGTTCAAGTACTTATTCCTTGCTTTCAGTGCCAGCATTACCGGATTTCCATACATGAGGAAGGTTGTTGTGGTTGATGGTACTTTCTTGCAAGGAAAATATAAAGGAACGCTTCTCGTTGCTACGTCACAGGATGGTAATTTCCAAATTAGTTGCATTTGCAGTTGTTGACACAGAGAATGATGAATCATGGACATGGTTTTTCCGGCAACTCAGCCGTGTGATACCTGATGATGAAGGCTTGGCTTTGATTTCTGATAGACACAAATCAATTGGGAAGGCTATTTCAGTGGTCTATCCATTGGCTAGCAGGGGAATTTGCACTTACCACTTATACAAGAACATCTTGCTACGGTATAGAGGGCGTGATCTATTTGGGTTAGTTAAAAAAGTCGCATATTCTCTTAGGGTAACAGACTTTCAAGCAATCTTCGAGACGATCAAAGTGTTAAATCCGGCTTTACATGCATATTTGGAACGTGCTGATGTATGTAAGTGGGCAAGAGCTCATTTTAGAGGTAATCGGTACAACATACTTACAAGTAACATAGCTGAATCCATAAACAGAGCTTTGTCAGATGTGAGAAGCTTGCCAATTGTTCGACTTCTAGAGGCAATTCGACTAATGATGACACGTTGGTTTGCAACAAGAAAACATGATGCTGACTTGATGAAAACCTCTCTCACTCGTGGTGTAGAGAAGTTGTTGGAGGTAATAGATTTAGAATCAATCTTGTTTACTCATACTAATCTGTTTTTGGTGTACCTATTGCTAAAATTTACCATTTGCAGGGTCGTATACCTATTGCTAATCTGTTAAAGGTTTAAGCAATTGACATCCATCAGTCAAGCTATTCGAGAGGTGGCATATGGAGATGTGGAAAGCATGGAACGTCGGTGGTACATGAGAAGAGCTGCGGCCATGTGCTGCAAAAAGATAAACCATTGCTTAAAATCAGTTAGCAAATAATTTTGTGAAGCCATAAATCTGAAGCCCAAAATAACAAATTTGGGAAAACTCACTCCATCACCCAACCAGCCGTAATCGGGTGTTGGCCACACTTCTCTTGGTACCAAGTAAAACTGACCGGAACTGTCTCCGTAGCTAATTTCCTCGCTGTCCCTAAATGAAAAAAAACAGAGCATTCAACCAACATATCTCACGAAATAAATTTAAGCTTCATGTAAAACTTACAGATCTTGTTTAATGAAATCCAAAAGCTTCTGGAGTTTTCCAGACTCGACTTTAGCTAATGGGTCATACGCCTTCTTTGAATCACTTATTATACGCTTCACCATTGAACTCCCAACGTACGGACATACTTGAGTCTTTGTCAACTGAGGCTTCCGTCTACGTGTAGACTTCTCTAAACTGCCAGCAAGTTCTTCCAACATTTGTCTACACTGTTCAGTCTTCTCCCATTTCAGATGATCTTCCCACTCTTGACTCAAAATAGACTCATCTTTCAGCTGCCGGATGTCAATTGCTTTCTTCTCCTTCTTCACCTTTTTCAGTCGTCCATCTTCCTTCTCCTTCTTCACGGGTTTCAGTCGCACAGTATCCTTCTTCTCCTTCTTCACTTTTTTCAGTGGCACTGCATCTTCCTCACCCTTAAGCTCCTCCTTCTCCATCGTCTTCTTTGCCTTCTTCTCCTTCTTAACAACACTTTGAATTGGCAAACCATCAAGTGAACTGATCTTCTTCTCAATCTTCCAAGACTAAAATATTAAACAACATAATAAGTAAATTTAAAGGAAAACAAAGAACAATGAATAAGTAAATCGTACCAAATCGTTGCTAGAAGCATCATCTTCGTTGGCCTTGGAATTTTCAGAGTTGGAGTCGGCCACACCTTGAGGGATGTTCACATCAGCTTTGTTTTTAAAAAACTTCACATCTTTCTCCAAACTTGCTATCTTCTTCAGCAACTCATCCTTAATAGGACCCATTGTAGCGTCCACCTTATCTTGTATTGTACCTTCTAAACTTTTAGTAACTTTCTCAGCTACACTAACATCCATGCCTTCTATTTTTTCAGTGAGTTTGGAGATGGAGTCAACTAAACCGAGTATAGCCACGTTCTGAGCTGCGAACTGTATTCCACAAACGAACCATGTTAGTGACATCATAAAAAATGTGTTTGTATCACAAAGTATCAGGAAAATTCTAAAACATACCATATCAGATGTTTCACCTCCATGAGCCGGTTCTTTTCCCTTTTGTCGCTTAGTAGAAGGACTGACATTTGGAATAACAGATGCTGCAACACTAATTTTTCTCTTCTTTGGCGAGTTGGTAGTTGGAGTTACATCCCAAAACTGCTCATCTAGCTGACCATTGATGATATCTTTTATCAGGTTCTCCCGCTCATTATCCATTTTATCATTCGGCCATTTTGGATATCTGTCTTCCATTGGCTTCATAACCATATGCCTCACACGAACCTGTAAAAAAATATACAAAACAAGCNTTGGTAGTTGGAGTTACATCCCAAAACTGCTCATCTAGCTGACCATTGATGATATCTTTTATCAGGTTCTCCCGCTCATTATCCATTTTATCATTCGGCCATTTTGGATATCTGTCTTCCATTGGCTTCATAACCATATGCCTCACACGAACCTGTAAAAAAATATACAAAACAAGCTCACATTACTAAATTTGGTCCAAATACTGTCTTTAAAATTCAAAACAATATTTCCAAATCTCAAATCTCTCTTAACAGTGAAGAAAGAAAGAAGACATAAGAGATGATATGTACCTTCTGATGCTGTATTTTTTCCTGATCACAAAAAGTTTGGAAATTTATATGGGTACGAGATCCCCCCCATGACAGAAGAGGAACATCAGCTCCCTCTATCCAATTGCCATAGTTTTCTCCTACACCAGGGACGAATTCATAAATCCATACTAAAATGGCGTGAACACAGGCACGGACAGTGTAACTCTTCCCTGGTTGAAATGAGACCATCTTAATGAACTGAACAAGCTGGCTAAATCCAATCCGACCCCATGGATATCGCTGAAAAGCTGCAATATCCATCACTCTTTTAGCACAATGCAAAGGGATTCTGCTGTTGCTCCCAATGCCAAATATCCCAATATGTAGCAATCCCAACAAACCGACCATCACTCGCTTCTCTCGAGACCAGTTTATGCACTTCACCAATACAGCTTGTAACTCTTTCAATGTAGGTCCTTCAGATGTTGGAACTTCCATCTCCAGCCAAAACTCTCGATGATCCACATCCCACACGTCACGCTGGTCGAAAAGATCACAGTTTAGACCCGTAATCTCCTCAAACTCATACAAGGAGAACCATAGTGGCATACAATCTATCAATGACCAAATCTCATACATGCTCTTGATGGCAAGTTGATTAGCAAGGAAATAATGAACAGCTTTAGCAGACCAAATATATTCCATCTCCTTCAGCTTAACGATAACTCCAACAGCTGATTCTCTCAACTCAGCCCAAACATCTTCCTCAACAGCTTTTTTAAACGCTTGAAGATTGGCCAGAAAACAACTATGGTTCATGCTTCTACTCTGAATTGGGGTTTTTCCAACATCATAGAGACGCGGAGGATAGTTCTTCATACCAGAAGAAGATGCCATACCTAAAGCATAAAACACATAACATGTTATTTATATGGTTTAGAAACAGTGAAAAAATACTAATCGCACAACAAAAACAAAAAAAATTAATAACTTAAACTCTTGTTCAACATGATCCGGTACTGAAGGAATTAGGAATTAGAGTCTACAAAATTGAAAATCAATAACATTTAGAATTTCTAAAATTTGGGATTTAGGGATTTCGAAAATTGGGAATTAGGGTTTTGGAAATCAAACAATCAATCAAGCAATAATTAAGTTAGAAACAACTTGAAAATTGGTATTTAGGGTTTTCAAATTTTGGGATTTAGGGTTTTCAAAATTTAGGATTTAGGGATTTCGAAATCAAACATGAAATTAAGCAATAATTTTGTAGAAACAACTTGAAAATATATAGATTTGGCACTTACAGGTTTTATTTTTCGAAATCAACACGTCTTGGAAAGGAGGCGATGAAGGAGATGCGACGGAGGACATGCGATGGTGGAGATGCGACGGAGGAGATGGTGGCGAAGACGACTCTGACGAGGTGGACGATCGACGGAGAAGATGGTGGTCGTCGGCGAGAGTCTCTTTCTCGAGACTCAATTTGTCGGAATCCCCCCCCCCCCCCCCCCCCCNAGAGAGAGAGAGAGAGAGAGAGAGAGAGAGAGAGAGAGAGAGAAAAGGTGATTGTTTAACTTTTAATCAATTTTTTGTAATCAATTTTTAATCAATTTTTGTTTTGATTGCAATTAGAAAAGGGTGATTTAGTCCCATTGCTTGTTACAAAATGGGGTCTAGTATTTAAAATTTTATGAGTCATTCTAGTCATTTTGTGATCAATTTGGGTCATTCCAAGTAATTTCTCAATTATTATTTACTTTATCTTTCTAGATTCTTTGTTTCCTAGATTATTATTGATGTTGGTTAGATCTTTATATAAGATCATGATTTGGAATAAAACTGGTTCTTATGGTTGCTGGTACTGGGTTTTTTTACCCTTGATGTCAGAGGTGTATACTTGGATAATGTTGGACACGAGGGTCTTACGGAATCAATTGCCTTGGCTGGACATAATATAATGAAGGTCAAACAGTGTATTTTGTTACAAAAAATCAGCAATTACCGGTATGAAATTGCTACATGGCAGAAAAATAATGTACCATATAGAAAGAAAAAAATTCAAGACCTGCAAGTGCTCTCAATGAAGTACAAACATATAATAATAGGTCCCATGAAGACATCTTGGACGTATCTAAAAAATTACAAGATGCATACAAAGATGAAGATGATTACTGACACCAGAAAAGTCGTAATATGTGGTATTCATCGGGCTATCTTAACACTAAATTTTATCATGCATTAACGAAGAAATGAAGAGTGCGGAATAGAATCGTGGGACTTCATGATGAAGCTGGGAATTGGATAACAGAGGAAAAAGGGGTAGAAAAGATAGCGGTAGACTAGTTTTAGGACCTATTTACTACCACTTCCCCATCAGAGTTTGATAGTTTTCTGGGTAACGTCCCACCATCTATCCCCCCTCAGATGAATCAAACGCTGCTACGGACAGCGACGGAGGATGAGGCCAGGCAGGTATTGTTCATGATGCACCCAAAGAAGGCTCCAGAACAAGATGAAATGACAGCTCTTTTTTTCCAGCATTCATATATAGCATATTATCAAGCAAGACTTGGTTGAGATGATGCATAATTTCTTGATTTCAGGAGCTCTCGATTCAAGGTTAAACATTAATCATATCTGTATGATTCCAAAGACGGAGAGACCCACACGGATGACGGAGCTTAGACCGATAAGTCTCTGTAATATAGGATACAAGATTATCTCAAAGGTTTTATGTCAGCGGCTAAAATGTTACCTTCCAAGGATCATTTTGGAAACCCAATCTGCATTTGTTACGGGTAGGCTAATATCAGATAATATTCTTATAGCTCAAGAATGTTCCATGGCTTAAGAACTAATACATCTTGCCATGAAAAATTTATGGCAATCAAAATGAACATGAGTAAAGCGTATGATACATAATGGGATTTCATTCAGGCCATCCTACATAAAATGGGGTTCAATCCTCATTGGATTAATCTCACGATGTAGTGCATATCGTCAGTTCAGTATCGGGTTTTACTAAATAGTCAACTATGAGAACTCATTATTCCACATAGATGTTTAAGGTAAGGGGGCAATTTATCTCTTTACTTATTTTTTATGTGTACTGAGGCGTTAATTACAAATATCAAAAAAATGAGCGAGAAAAACAATTAACAGGGATGAAGGTAGCCAGAGCTTTTCCATCGATCTCTCATCTGTTTTTTTTTGTGCAGATGACAGTCTTTCCTCAAGACTCAACGGGAAGAGTGTCAAACCATTCCGAGGACTTAAAGAATATGAGGCAGTTTCAGGTCAGCTGATTAATTTCCAAAAGTCTTCATTTTATTTTGGACATAAGATTGAGGAATCCAGTCGACAAGAATTAAGATATATATTAGGAATACATATTTTAGGGGGAATGTGATCTTATTTGGGATTACTAGAGAGTCTTGGAGGATCCAAGATACACGTGTTTGGGTTTGTACATGAACGCTTAAACAACAAGGTTAATGTTTGGACCTTTAAGTTTTTCACTAAGGGAGGAAAAGAAGTGATCATCAAATCAGTGATTACGGTCTTACCAAATCATGTGATATTCTGTTATCGGCTACCTAAGGCTACCACAAAAAACTGACGAGTGCAGTAGTACAATTTTGGTGCAGTCCCAGGGGAAGCATAAGAGGAATAAACTGGAAATCATGAGACAAATTATGTAAAAATAAAGAGGAAGGAGGTTTGGGTTTTATAGACTTTAATGATTTTAACACGGCTATGTTTGCCAAGAAATTATGGTTCCTAATAGAGAAACCAAACACTTTGTTTTCTCGAGTTTTCAAAAGACGGTATTACAGGAACGCATCACCCCTAGAGCCGATCCGATATACTCTCTGTCATATGGCTGGATGAGTATGGTTTCTACTGGATCTCTGGTTAGCAAAAAACTCATCAAAAGGGTGGGATCAGGATCATCTATATCCGTATGGAATAATCCATGGCTCCCAACCACTCAGCCGAGACCAGAAAATAAAAATCAACATAATCTTTACCCGGAACTTACGGTGGATTCTCTCGTCAACATTGATTCTCGAAGTTGGAACATGCAGGCAATTCAGGCTTTGGTGGATCCTCAGGATGTGAAATTCATAGAAGCATACCATTGAGCATGAGTCAGATGGAGGATCGAGATAGATGGCATTTCACTAATAATGAGAAATACACAATTAAATATGGATACCAAGTAGAACAGGTAACCCAAATACAAAAACCACTGGTAGTTTGGGACCCATAGTGGATTTATTGAAAGCATTTTGCTTTAAGGTACGGTGTCTTTCGAAGATCAAACATTTCTTATGGAAATTGATATTAGAATGTATAGTTATTAAGAAAAAAACTGAAATCAAGAGGGATACAAGGAGACACATGTTGCACTAATTGCAGAGCCGACGATGAATCAATCAACCATGTGTTCTTTGAATGTCCTCCAACACGCCAAGTCTGGGCGTTATCAAAGATACCATCTAATCCTGTTATTTTTTCAAAATCACGAAAGAACAGCCCAACCTCTTTAATCCAGAAACAACGGTCACACATGTTATCACCCTTACTGGTGTCAATGCTCCACAAGCCGATCCAGTTTCTGTCCCCAACAGCACAATATTGGCAGCTGGAGAACGATGGTATAACCGATGAAATGAACTCCAACCTCTTTGCGCGGAAATCGTCACCATGCCACAAATCCCATCCCCATTTCACAGATCGCACTTGTTTCCCAATCTTATCAGCAGATTCCCTTGTAAAACGAGCAAAATACTCCTCATCATCCCAAAATATTTTTCTAGTCATTGCGTATGTATACGCGCCACGCTCATATCATGCATCCGCTGCACTCTTCATGAGAGTAAGTCCTTCTTCTCGAAGGTCGAATGTGAAGAACAACTGGACACCCTTGATATATATTGTGCTTGGGTTTCCCTCAGCGTAGCAAGTTGGGAACAACGAAATAGGCATAGCTGTTCTCCAAGGAAAATGTAGCAAATCAAAAAAATGATATACCCTCCACCGCTCTGTTAAAG